ACGATTAGTCGTCGCTAGATGGAGTGATACCGTATCAGTTTTTTGGACAGTTCGTAACAACATTTTGTCCAGAAACAAAAACTTTAATAACTTTGTCATGGAAACACTCCAGGCTCCATTCTTCAAAAGCTTTTTCTAAATTCCACTTCATGACTGAAGTCTCTTGAATTGTTCAAATGTGGTCATGGTCAGATGACTTTGATATAGAGCCCATTAATAACGCCAATAAAATCTAGCAGGAAAAAAGCGCAGAGCGAGAGCCTTGCCATTTATTTTTTGGGTTACAAAGGTGCGAAAACTGAACCATCAAACTGGTTGGCTTCGAATGTGAATAAAAAGTGGCGCGGGTCATATTTGTTGGAGAATCGACTATGAACGATCCTCATGTTTTATTGATGAGATTAGTAACACATTCAAAATAAATTGACATGGCGAAAAGCCATTGACCAGTACACCACCTTCGTTTCAGTTTTCCAGGCCGAATTCGGGTAGTTTTCCCATGTTTGCTCTGTAAGGGAAGGGGAAATAAGGTTTTGCTTCCTAGATTGTGAACGAGAAAACGAAATGAGTTGACTTCCGTACCCACATCGGACGATCGCACCAGTGCAAGGGTCAAAGGCGATTTGAAATCGAAGTTTTGGCTTTCCGTTCAGTTTGCCCAAGTTCCTTCAATCTGGTAGATTCTTCCTCTTCTTCGTATTTCTTCACCTGCTTCATTTCATTTCTCCTTTTACCCTTTCCTCAACCCCAAGGCATAAATCTCTCTTAGCCTGCATATCCCCTCATTAGAGAGCACACCATTTCTTGACGCTGCAAATCATTTGTAAACTTCTTCTTTTTCGAGAGTTCTTATCAGGCAGGTCTGGGCACTGATCTATGCGTAAATTGCCCGAGTTGAGTGGGCCTTCCATTTGTATATTCGTAGTGGCGTTTGAATGCGATGTGGCCTATACAACCAGCCGATGTTCAAGTCAGTGTTTTTATCCTCCCAGACAAGTCTGGTACCAATTAACCGACCCCGGAGGGATGGAAGGCTTGGTTGGCCCGGGCGACCCAGGATCTGATCCCTGGCTCGCTTGCGTGGTAAGCGTGCAACTTGCCACTAC